AAAAAACACACACACACACACACACACACACCTCCCCCCCTCTCGGCGCCCCTGATTGTCCGTTTAGTACTTGGCATTGCTTTCGCGGCAGCCGTCCACGAGCATCGCCAATGGCGACATCATGCAATTCACAACCGAAAAAAAAAAAAAGAACTCGATGACGACGGCAAAGAACCAACTTTGATCAACACAGCACGTAATGGCCTACATGGCCGACCGACCACGGATGGCGGCAGCCATCTCGAACAGTGCTTGGCACATCATCCTCTGCGTCTCATCGGACGACGCATAGTGCGCTTTTTGGACGGCAACTTCCTGCTCCAATATGTTGCATTGCCTCATGGAGATGCTGCATTGCCGCTTGCTAGACGATTCGATCGTCGACGACATCAGTGCGCCATGGCGTTCCATGACATCAGAGATGGTCTCGAATGCATGCTGACGCGCGTTCCTCCGCTTCCCGCCTCCCGCCCCGCTGCCTGCGTTGCTGTCGGACTCCCTCGCAGAAGAACGCTCGTCAGGGCAGCCTTCACCGGCCGCCTCACTACAAACAGACTCCCCGCCACCCGCTCCTCGCCTGGGCAGCTGCACCCCATCCGGACTGCCGGTGTCGGCAACGTTGGGAGGGAAAATTGTGTGGTTCCCCACCATGCCTGCATGGATCTCGTTGTACAGCGCCCTGTGGAACTTGAAGTTGTGCTCCTTCCTCTCTTCGTTCGTCAGCCTGAAAAAATCTGGCCGCCCGCTGGCATTCTGAAACCTCTGGATTTTCTTGTAGTTCTGGAACAGATTGTCCCACTTCTTCATGCAGTCGCCAGCGTCCTTCGGCCTCTAGCATTCGCCATCCGCTTCGACATGTCCTCCCACTTCCACTCTTTCGTCTTCATCCCCCCGTAATTGTGAGACAAGCCGGCGAGGTGCATATCTTGCTCCCGCTTGCATCGCACCAGGAGCATTTGGTCTTCTGCAGACCAGTACGTCGGAGACTTCCCGGCGTCGTCACTTACACCGCCTCTGCCTCCTCGGCCAACGGATCGACCACGGACACCACCTCTGCCGCGTCCTTTCCCCCTCCCAACCGTCTTCCCCAAAGGCCGAATTGGAACGTCGTCGTCGTCATCCCCCGCTTCCACGTCTTCCCTCATCCCTTCGTCTGCGTCGTCACCGAAGCCAACGTCGTCTTCGCCTGCATCGCTGTGTGCCCGCATGTTCGACACTGCACGTGTTATGTTCTCCACAGTGGATCGTGGACGTACCGGCGCTCTGCACGTTCCCTCGTCCCTCACTCCGGATTCGACCGGTGTTGTGCACGCACGCATCAGGGAACGTGGACCGCCGATCGATCGACGGACGGAGCAGTCGATCCATGCTGCCGTCCCGCTGGTGATGGCCCGACCGCGCAAGTCACGGGTGCAGCGTGACGAAGTGTGGACTGCTCCATATGCAGACTTCGACCATGCTCAATGCCACGTGCCGAACGATCTCCGTCGATGATGAACGTGCGACTCGCCTCCCTTCCGCCGCCAGAACACAACTGGAACCTCAGATCAACTCCTCCGCCGTCGTCGTCCCGCAAGCCTTGATGGAGCAATGACATGAACTCGCCCCCTCCGTCGGGAGCCGACCCGCCTGCTCGCACCGTCTGCGACCACAACTGAGTCGAGCCGCTAGCGAGAGGCAACGTCGAAAGTTCTTCCTTCTCCGGCTCCTCGTCCGACGGGGGCAATGGCGTATCCCACGACTCCAGATGGGTGTACATGGACGGGTCGTACCGCCTTCGAGGCTCCGCCGCAAAAGATCGAACTCCTCCCTGACCTGCGGCAGCAGCCTGTCGTGCCTGCATGCCCGCCATTAGACGCTCGCCTGCCGCCCGTCTCGTCGAAGCCCTCCTCTTGCGTTGTTGTTTCCACGGCCGCCCGAAAAACACACGTAGAGGAAGACGACAATCAAGTAGAGGATGACAGCGAGTACCAGCAGAGGCAATTTCCTCTGCACGTCAGCCATGAAATTCACCTTTGCAACCGCCCTCGCATGTGACCACTGCAGATGTGTGTTCCGACATGCCCGCGACAGGGGCGCTCGACCTTCATATGCGGACAACCACCACAGAAGACGACGAACACGCCCGCCTTCCTTTTGAAATTCGACCGTTGCAGTGCGCACTGCCCGAAGCGGCTCCGTCTGTCGTCCTGCGCACGTCGACGTCCGACTCTGCATCTCGCAAGCGACCCAACGGTCCAGTACGGGCAACCACCCACCGACGCTCGGCCCTCCGCGCTCTACCCCCTCAGCCAACGGCTACCGTGTGTGGCCGTTGCCCGCGTCAAGCCGCAGAAAACCTCCGATGTCCGACCACCGACTCGACGGACCGCTTCTGGACCACCGAGCGTCGACGGTGCCATGCGCGCGACGCAACGACTCCGTGAAACGCGGGAATCCTAAATTTTTCAGTAGGTCGGGGGCTACTGTAAAATTTAGGAAGATTTTGCCTGGGGAATCCTAAATCTTTTAGGACTCGTCCTAACGCCGTTTTCACATTTTTTTGATCTCCGATTTCGTTTTAGGACTAAACAGGCATTTTTAGGAGTGTCTAACGAGAACCCTAGACCCTCAAAATTACCGAATAGCAAAATGAGAAGCCAGATCGAGTTCTTCTTTGAGGAGGACTGGATCACGGTTCACAAAACGAAGGGGTTAAAAAAGACCCCCAAAAAACACGAGAGCGCCGTCGTGGAGCCCCTCCCTACCAGTCATCCCCTGCCAATGGATCTCGCTCCGCTACTAAAAACATGCGCATAAGACGAAGTATATGGCAGTGTATTTGCCCATATTCCAGCGGAAGATTCGTTCTCATTTGTACGTTTGGTGAGTAGTTAGCGGAGGGAGGCCCAATGCCTTCCACGTCGAAAAATGAAAAAATTTCCACGTCCAAAACAAAATAAAAAAACAGGAAAACTCGCCACAAAAAAAAAAAAAAAAAAAAAAAAAAAAAAAAAAAAAAAAAAAAAAAAAAAGAACTCACCCCATCACGTGGTCCGTCGCCCGTTTAAAAAAAAAAAGGACCGTCGATCTTACGGTAGCCGTTGATCTCTCAGTGGCCGTTGATCGATGCCTACAAGGCTTTAATCTCCGACCTGGTCCCGATCCCAACGGACTTAACCTGTGCCATTTCACACGTCGACGGCTTTGGTACCCCTTTCACACGGAACCAGTTCCGGTCGTCCGGTCGGACAACGTGGATACCAGC